TTGAATTGATTAGCGGGTTGATGTGCGCACAACGTAAACTCTCGCATATGGAGGCTGAATTTAGAAAAGAAAATGTGATTAGATTGCAGGACCTAAAACTTCAATTACAGGGGTAGCGCCAGCTTTGGGGGCAGGGCCCCCATCTGGAAGAGCTTCCCCCCTCCCCCGTCGGGGAGGAAAAGCACTATTTGTCGGGGAGAAAAATAATTATATGTATTTTCTACATATTAGTAGACTATAAAATCGATTAAATAAGCCTTTGAAACACCTAAATTGTCAAACTTTTCGAGAAGGGTTGGTGGAATTTGTCCAGAATACGGGCTTTTTCTGTCCAGAATACGGGATGTATGGGGGCGCTGTTGTCCAGAATACGGGCCGTGAAATTTGTCCAGAATACGGGCTCTGAAATCTGTCCAGAATACGGGCTATATGGGGGCGCTGTTGTCCAGAATACGGGCTTTCTCTGTCCAGAATACAGGCTCTGAAATCTGTCCAGAATACGGGCTCTGAAATCTGTCCAGAATACGGGCTGTATGGGAGCGCTGTTGTCCAGAATACGGGATTTCGCCACACCTACTGAAATTTTCGGGGGCTTGCCCAGGACCACTTTCTGTACCTTTTAATCGAAACTCAACCACTCTCATTTTGCTTTCGTTGGGGAAATCTAACCCCTCGTCGGGGACCACATCTAGATGTGTATAAGAGACAGAGCTTGAGATGCTTATTAACGTTCTCCTCTTCATTGTAAAAAGAAGCCCATTTTTTAGTTTGTAAGAGTAATATTATCTATTAAAAAAATCCTGAAAAGAAGTCAATCATATTTTTTGGTCTTCTTTTCGGTGTATGTAGAGTTGGGCCGGTGTAGATGCAAATTAGGTATTATGTGTTTTTGAGTAGGAATTTGGCACGGTGTCTGCATTTTGAAAGGATTGCCTAGTGCGTGAAACAGCCTGTAGAGTGAAATTACAAGTTCCTTATTATTATTATTACTATTATTATACCGCTCTGCATAAGCATCGAGCACTATACGTTGCCTGAACTGACAACTTTATATTCATTTTTATTCTTGCTCCCAACGTTGAGCACTATCGTCAAGACCGGCATTGAACATGGAACGTGTAAACTTCGGATACTCTATGAAGAACATCCCTATTCCATCTGCGAGGGAATACAAGAAAACCTTAATTGGAAAAACCGAGAGCGTTTTAAAACGCATGAGATGGAAAGCTTCCATTTCTTCAACAAAACAAGCAACCTACAAGAAGACAAAGAAACGTATGGCTTCAAAACCCAGAACTACCCTCCACAACCTGATGAGATGAGAGCCTTCGAAAATGATGTCTTGAAAATGGTAGAAATGGTGGAATTCCGTGACACAAAATGTGAATTCCTAAGAAAACTCAAACAAGACTCAAATACCATCAAGAAGACCGACCAGCTTATCATACCAGCAGACAAAACAACAAACTTCTACAAACTAAGCACGGAACAGTATGCCCAGCTCCTACATCAGAACATCACCAAGTCCTACAAAAAAACGAACGAAGACAGCATACAAGAAATCAATAATACAGCAAAATCGATCACCTCAAATCTGAAACTCGACGACCGGGTCGAAACCATTGCACATAAGGAAGCCTTCATTACACTAAAAGACCACAAAGACAACTTTCAAAACAAACCAAGTTGCAGGTTGATTAACCCATCCAAACCAGAAATTGGGCTAATTAGCAAAACCATCCTGGACCGCATAAACAGCACCATGCTTGAAAAATCACAATTACAACAGTGGAAGAACACATCAGCAGTCATCGAGTGGTACAAACACATCAAAAAGAAATCAAACAGCACATTCATCACATTCGACATCGTCGAATTCTACCCATCAATATCGAAAAAGCTACTACTAGATGCAATTCAACACGCCCAAAATTACACAACTATAACAGAGGAAGAAGTAGATATCATCATGCAGTCACGAAAATCAATACTGTTCTCCAACAACTCAACATGGGTCAAGAAAAATTCAGACGATATGTTCGACGTCACCATGGGCAGTTTTGACGGAGCAGAGATATGTGAACTCGTTGGAACTTACATCCTTTCCCACCTCGCCAAAAAGCTCGGAAAAACAAACATCGGGCTCTATGTGACAAGATGAAGAAAGAAATCACATCCATCTTTCACTCCTTCGACCTCCGCATCACTATACAAGCAAACATAAAGATCACAAACTTCCTTGATGTCACATTCAACCTGACTAACGGATCCTATGCTCCATTCACCAAACCAGACAACAAACTACTATACGTGGACAAAAGATCAAACCACCCTCCATCCATCTTAAAGCAAATCCCCTCTTCAATCAATAAAAGAATATCAAGCAACTCCGATTCAGAAGCAACTTTTCAAAAGGCCGCCCCCGACTACCAAAAAGCACTAGGGGACAGCGGATTTCAACACAAGATGAAATACGAAAAACCACCTACAAACAACTCAAAAGCCAGAAGAAAAAGAAACATCATATGGTACAACCCACCTTTCAGCAAAAACGTCAAAACAAACATCAGCAGAACTTTCCTTAACCTGGTCAAAAAGCACTTCCACAAAGACAGCACCTTGCACAAATTGTTCAACAAGAACAAAGTAAAAGTTAGCTACATTTGCACAAGAAACATGGGCAGCACCATCAAAGCCCACACAACAACCACCTTCTACACCACCTTCCAAACAACAAGCACCGACCAAACTATGCAACTGTCGGATTAAAGAAGATTTCCCACTCTCGGGAAACTGCCTCACCTTCTCAATTATTTACAAAGCTACAATCACAACAAACGAAGAATCGAAGCATTACATCGGGCTCACAGATACCGCATTTAAAACCCGATATACAAATCATAAGCACACATTCAATGCACCAAAACACAGAAACAGCACAGAATTTTCAAAGTTCATATGGAAACTAAAAGACAGCAAAACACAATACAATATCAAATGGTCCATTATTGATAGAGCCTCATCCTACTCACCCAAAACAAAGCGATGCAATCTATGCAACGCAGAAAAGTTTCATATAATTTATGCAGACAAACAATCTACTTTGAACAAAAGGCACGAACTCCTTTCAAAATGCAGACACCGTGCCAAATTCCTACTCAAAAACACATAATTCCTAATTTGCATCTACACCGGCCCAACTCTACATACACACGTCAAATTTGAAATTCCCTCCACTCCTGAAGATTGCCTAGTGCATGAAACAGCCTGTAGAGTGAAATTACAAGTTCCTTATTATTATTATTACTATTATTATATTATTATATTTATTACTA